TGCTGTTCGGGGAAAGGGGCTACTGGCAGCAGACACCCCTCCTCGTGTGGGGTGTTCTAGTGCTGCCCCTACCTTCTCGTCAGGGCAGGGAAGCTGCAGGGAGGCAAGGACAAGTACAGGCTGGTCCCCAGAGCCCGGGCCCCTTCCAGACATGCCCCTGGGACCCGACAGGGTACCTGCTGACTTGACCTGACAAGGATGGGGTGATCCAGCTCTCCCTGGGGCACCGAGCCTGCACTTTTATGGGGCTGCCACGAAGGAGCAAGGCTGCGGGCCCAGAGCCTCTCTGCTCAGTGCCCAGCGTCCCGATAATTAGTGGTGAGGGGCGCATGGGAGTCCCTGGGCTAGGACCCCAGGAGGGACTCTGCTCTCCACATACAGCGCCACTCCAGCCCACGATACCTCCCTCTCCGCTCAGGGGAGTGCCCGGCTCTGCCATTTCGAGAGTTCAGCTCCGTTCCCGCTTCCGCAGAAGGGGAAGAGACTTGGAGGCACAGGCCTGTCCTGTCCAGGGCTCTCCCCACTGCACTGCACTGCCCCGCCTCGGCAGTTATCATTCTGGTCCATGTCTCAGGGGATGCCGCATGGCTTCTGTGCTACATCCTAAGCTCCTGAAGTTTGAATCGCAGAGAAGGGAGGACAGGGCTGGGCCTACCCCAGGCGCTCCCGAAGCTCTGCCCATTTCTTGCCTGTCCTAAGGTGGGGCAGCAAATGGCTCCTCAGGGTAAGCGTGGGGTGAAGAGGCATCGAGAGGCGGAGGGATAGGGGGAGGGAGGGAGGCTGGCTGGGAGGTGGGGCATGCCTGCCATTCCTCAATCTGTGCCCACACAGCCGGGATCTTCCACCCACCAGGAAAGGGAAATTGAAAGCATCCCCATCCCACCCTGTGAACACGGCCCAGAGACTGGGGGATTAGAGGCCGAGCCCCCTGGGGGGAGGCTGGGGGCGGCGGGGTGGCCATGTGGCGACGTTCCTCATCAGAGGACAGGAAAGCTGCAGCTTCCTGTTTCCGGTGCTGGGGTCCCTGGGAGCTTCTCTCCTGGCAAGAGGCGGCAACAGGCAGTGCCGGGTTTACGTGGTTGGGGGAGATCGCATGTCGGCCACGGGATACAAAGAAGCCAGCCGGGCCGGCAGGCAGGCAGGCAGGCCTGGGGGGGCTCGGGCAGAGGTCAGCGGATCTGCTGCGGAGATGGTGGCCACCCCCTCGGCCACTCACCCACCTTCCTGGCAGGTGGTGCGCGGCTGGAGTGGTGGGAAGCAGCCGCGATTTCTCTCCATTTGGCTCCAGAAGCCAGGCATCAGATTTCAAGCCCGCCTCGGTGGTGGTGAAATCAAGGCGGAAGTCAGTCCCCAGTTCTCTGGGCCGGTGTCCCCTGCCTAGCTCTGCCAGCCATGGGTGTGCACGGCAGCCTCCGTGGCAGCCCCTGGGACCCCCGTGGGCACGGTCAGCTCGGCCCAGGGTCCTTCCCACCCAGTTCTGAACCCTCAGGCCTGGAGACGGGGTCACAGAGCTACAAGCAGCGGAGCTCTTTCCGACGCTCCCTCCTGAGCTACTGGCCTGCCCAGCATCCTGCTCCTCACATGACTCTGCGACCTGGGGCCGAGCAGGGGCTGGGGGCAGGGGCTCGGGGCAGGAGCGGGGAGGAATCCCTGCGGGCCAGGTTCTGCCTGCCCTCCACGGCTAAGCCTCCAGGCAGCCCAGCTTAGAAAGAGCTTTGCCTAACTCCACCCCTTGGACCTGAACAGGGAACAAGAGCTCAACAACCTGAGCACCAGGGGTCAGAGGATCAAAACCTGCTCTCTCCATCGCCCTCTGGGCCCTGATCCAGGCCTCGTGGTAATTAGCACAGCCTCATTACCCAGGCCCTGCTGAGGCAACTGCCAGGGACCACCACAGAAGAGGTAATAAAGTGCAGCTGCTAGGCTGGAGCGGGAGCCTCTCTAGGCCGGAGCCGAGCTGGGAGAGGCCAGGGAGGAAGATGAAGTGATTCGGGAGCTTCAAGGCAACGTTCCTGCCTGTCTCCCGCCCAGCGCCGCCCCCCTAGGGGACCCAGGGAATAGGCCTGTCTGATCACTGACCAGAGCCTGCTGGACAGAAGATGAGTCTCACAGAAGAATTTCTGACCCTGGCAGGTCATGAATCGGCGGACCTTCCCAGGCGGGACCCCGCTGCAGCTCCCTTTCCCGTGTGCGGCCACCCCC